ATACTTTATGCCAGCACGATACAAATACATGTGTCTTTTTTTTATTATTTTCATTATTATTTTTCAATCTCAATCAACTTCTATAACCTTATGCCAGCAGGATACAAATACATGTATGTCTTTATTATTGTATCAACTCTTGTCTTTTCCATGTAACCATGTCTTCATAGTTTGAATTATCCCTTCATCTTCTCAATCTTTCGCAGAGATTTAATTAATTAAATACACTTCACACGAAATAAAGTTTTGCTGGAAGATCTACAGCAAACGATAAACTGTAAAAAACATATTACGTGGAAAGAACAAGAGTTGGTACAGTAAAGGCAAGTAGAAGTACATGTAATGTATCGTATTGGCATAACGCTATATCCGCGGAGCAAGATAATGTGGCTGTAGAGGTAGTCTGCAGTGCAGCTATTGGACGTAGATGTTGATTGAGATAATTGTCTAATATAAAATAGAATTTAAAAATTTAGTTTAAAAGCTGTTGCATATATAATAAAGTTTATTTTTCTAAATTTGGAATATGTTTAATTAATTAATTTTTAAGTTTATGTTTAATAAATTTTTAAGTCTGTATTCAATAATTTTATTCATTTGATAAATACATGTATGTCTTTATTTTGATATGTTTAATATAATTAGAAATTCATTATTAATTAGATATGTAAACTATAAATTCATATTAATATTTGAAAATATATGTGAATATTTAAATTTTTATCTTCTCCTTCCTCTCCTCAATCTCTTTAATATCAATATGGTATGTGTGTACACGCGCGCACATTTGTACGTATTTATTTAATTATTGGATAGTTGAGAGTACTTAATTGATAAAAATTATGACAATAATAATCCTGTTTTTTTCTTATTATTTACTCAGATTTTTTGTCTATTATAAGATAAACACTTTAGAGATTGAATATTTCAAGTAAACTAATTGTAAGTAAATTTCACATTAATGCATATAGATGTTTAATCATGAATGTACTGAATAAGTACACAAGACGACAGTGAGTGAGTGAGTGAGAATGAGAGAGTGTGTGTGTGTGTGCGTGTGTGTGTGAGAAAGCGAGAGAGAGAGAGAGAAGAGAGGTTAGCCAACATAACCCCCACGCTGCCGATCATGAATGTACTAAATAAGTACACAAGACGAACAGTGAGTGAGTGAGTGAGAATGAGGAGTGTGTGTTGTGTGTGCGTGTGTGTGTGAGAAAGAGAGAGAGAGAAGTGAGAGAGAGGGAGAGAGGAGAGAGAGAGCGAGAGAGAGAGAGAGAGAGAGAGAGAAGAGAGAGAGAGAGAGAGAGAGAGAGAAAGAGAGAGGAGAGAGAGAGATAGAGAGAGAGAGAGAGGAGAGAGAGAGAGTAGCCAACATAACCCGCACGCTGCCGATATGGCGGAGCGCCACTATCGCCATCTGTTGTAAAACGTGCGAGATGGACAAAATTACCACTACATGCATCTTGCATGTGTTGTGTACGTGTGATATATGTGTGCGCATGTGTTGTATACGTGTGAATACGTGTAGCACGATACTACTATGTATGCGTGGTCGATGATGATAATGATGATGATAATGATGATAATGATGATAATGATGACGGGGACGTTTCTTAATAGAAATTTTTCATATTTCGACTTTGCATTTATATATCTCTGCTTACAAATCACGTAGAGCAGAAATAAAGACACTTTATTATATAATTCGAACTCAATCTATCGATTAAGTCTAGTATAAACTCGATTGCTTCAGCCATTATTGAGGATTCGAAATATTATAAAGACTCAAATGTCCGACTCGCGTTAAGATACACGGTGTCTCCGCTACGCCCTTAACTGGTCGCGAGACACTACCGTGCCTCTTGATATCATATATATTACACCCGATATTAATCGATCGAATAAATAATACATAAATATGTGTGTGTGTGTGTGTGTGTGCGCGCATGATTATAAACAATTTTAATATTATTAATATACATTTTTTGTTAGCTTAAATAATCTAACGTATTATCAATTTTTGATCCGAACTTTTTGCCAAATAATCTCTCTACATGAACTTCTTATGCACGCTATTTTAGAAGGATTTTCTCTCTTTTGCAAGATATTTACGATGATTTGTTATTATTTACCGAGAAATCTATATACAATATATTTTTGAATTTTTATATACATATAAAAGGCAATAAGAGCTAATTAAGTTCTTTCATTAAGATTTATTTGTGGAAAAAGATTTATAACATAAAATATTAGACAGAAAAAAATTCTTACGTTTGGTTGCTCTTTTCAACTTTCTTCAGCGCATAATTTAAAATAAAGATTAATAGAAATTAACAATCAATTATTCGTAACTGTCAATATAATAATACTATACAGAAACCAGTAATTCGCATAAAACTACGTCAAGTTATTAAAAAAAAAAAAAAAACGAAATCAACGCATTTTTAAACATGAGCATTTTTATATATTCTATTTCTCGAATCGTTATTCTATGTAATTGTCGCGAAACAGATCTCTCGCTAATTGTTCGGTTAAGAGGTCGGTTGCGAATCTCGATAACAGCAATTGTTAATATGTTTATAAAATCATTGTATACGAAAAATTAACATTAAAGATAAGTAAATTAATAAAATAGACTTACAATTAAATCGAGTAAGATATTATATTGTGACGTAAAGGCTTTTAAATATTGATTGTTCGACGTTACAATAACGAATGATTTTTATCTCCAGAGAGACGACCACACAACAAAGAAAATAATTAGTTGTTTATGTTTTTAACTTTTATATCTTAGGTAGTCTATGTATTATATTGACATAGATTACTGGCAAGCCATCAATATCTGTTTTTAATTAAAACTATTATTTTGCCTTTTATGAATATCATCTCAAAAATCAATTTCAGAAGATAGTTATTTACGAGTAATATTTTGATTACTAACTCTAAATTTTCTTTGTGAAATTCTGGATTTGATAATAAGAAGGCCCTCACTAAATGACAATGAACGATATGTCTGTACTAAAATGTAATTGTCATTTTTCCATCTAGTAAGTAAATCATGAAAGTTCAGATTAATTTTTTAATCGGATACTTATTTAAAACTAAATAAGTTTCATCATTGCTTAACATGTCTTCAATCTTTTCGATGTATTTATCTCTATCTAAAGCCACAGTTATATTACCCTTATCTGCTCTTGTTAGTATTAAATTATCATTTTATTTGAATTTCAATCCGCACTAAAAAAGAGCAGACACACACACTTCTGCACCATTCACAATATTATAATTTTAAATAATAATCCTTAAGGTTGCCAGTAATAATTAATAAAAACCACTCCTCAATGTTTAAAGTCGACCAGACTGGCAATAATTTATTATAAATAATTATTTGAAATACAACAACGTTATAATTATAATTTTAGATTATTCAATAATATGTCGCGAACGACTGCGGCATCGTCTGGATAATGCTGTCCTAGCATGTTATTTGGCACATAATGAGTATCTTCAAATTTACAGAAATATTTTCCAACTTCTGGATTATTTATCCATTCTTTGCATACCGATGTTATAACATCTAAATATAAAAACGTATAAATAAAAAATATAGTATCAAATGTATTATGCCATGTAACATAAACAATATAAACAAAAATATCACAGAATATACAGTATATAAAGTATAATGAAGTATTACATATAATACACATACATTGTGGAACGTAACACAGATCATTCTCGCTTAACAAAACGTAATGCGGTAGCAATGTCCAATTATCGATGCTATTTTTCTGTATACATTGCTCTTCAACATCTTCCAGAATACAACATGTTTCCTTATACCTAAAACGTTCAATTTGGCATTTGTTGTGCCACCCAATAATGACCCCAGCAACATCTTTTCGTGTATTATCTTCCATTTTATGATTATGTGTAACTATCAATCCAATCGCATATTTTAGATTAGGCGATCTTTTTTTCCGAAATGTTTCATCTTCTGGAGTACATATTTCCTAAAAATTAGTATAGTTGACGCTTTTATATATTATGTAATTTATACTAATGTTATAATTTAAATTATAAATAATTATAATTAGATTTTTGCACGTATAATTATTATATGTTATTTTGTTACATATCTTTAATTTATAATTTGTACAATAAGTGAATTCAATTGTCTTACCTCATCATAATAACATAATGATGGTAATTTATAACCGGAATAGTAAAAAGAAAGCAGCCACGTCTCCACAAAAAATATATATCCAAAATGGTTTCTTCAACCGATAATGGCGGCTTTAAAAAAATTGTTATTAAATTTTGAATCAAAATCACTTATGATATATGTAATGATTAAATTCAAATTATAAATGTGTGTAAAAAAATACATTTAAATATATTTTCGAAACTTTATAATCTAAAACTAATGTTATATATTATATGCTTTTTTAATTTATTAAAATTAAGCTTATTGATTTCAATGTTCTTAAAATATTTTACAGAGGAAGCATCGCTGATTATGTCTTTTTATCAAACATCGCTGAATTAAACGTCCTCCTGTTAGGAGTTATAAACTTTAGAAAGTGAAAGTCCAAAACTACCATATTTTATATAAATATTAATTACTTACCAAATGTAGATTTGTGTAAAAAAATGAACATAGAGACGGTACTAATTGGCATTTTCTTATGTTAGAAATCTTTGCATTATCTGAATTATCTGTCCATTTAAACGTGAAACATTCTCTATTTTCTGTACACTCTCTGTATAAACAATAAAGAAATAACATGTACATGTACATCAGTGCGTAATATAAATGTTTAAAAATAATATTCATTCAATGATAAATTTTTTAGAAAAAAGCTATATTACTTTGTATAATTAAATATTATATTAATATTTTTGGAATATTTAATTGCATAACTTAAGATACATAAAATAATTATAACTTGTAATGATATATATAAGATTTAACTTGATGCAAAAACGAAGATTTTTTTTTAATATATGTAATATTATTTTTTTAACATCGACTTATATTATAATGCAATAAATAAATTATTTGAGAGGGAAATCATGGACAAACATTCTTTTATTTGTTCACAAACAACCACAAAATAATGAATTTAAAAATATCGTTTATGTTATTAAATTTTAGCGCTCGTATTTAAATAGAAACAACAAAGTGAATTATGTATAAGCCTTTTGATGAATGTGAAATAGATATTAATATAAACAACTTTAATTATTTCAGAAAATTACAATCTTTAAATACGGAACATTTCAACATTTACTGTTGTCTCTTCAGTCACTATTATATGAAAATTAGATTATAAACAGAAATAAATAATGGTCAAAAATTATGTTGTTTATGTATACATTGATTGTTTAAAATCTGTAAAAATGTTTATTTATATTGGTTGTTTCTATGCTGTGAATATCTGTATATGTAGTTGTTTGTAACACATTTGAAAAATAAATGATTGTTTATGTTCTTCTTAACTGGTTAGATTGTTGCAATATTACACAAGTCGGCACCCGCAAATTTTTTAAACTACAAATAATAATAATTAATACATATAATAATAAATTATATATATACATGTGAGTATTGCCGTATAACTAATTGTGCGTATAGTACGAATACTCGACAAATAAATAAAATAATTTAATAATAAAATTATATTTCCCGGATTGCCAATCCAAGTGTTTTTTGAGTACAATTATCGTCTATATCGTGTTCTGTTGTTACAACATGTAAACCCAATCTGTTTGCAACGCAATATATATTGCCAACCACAACGTTTGTTTATAATATAATGTCTCCTTAGTCTGTCGAAGAATAATAAGTGTGAAAGTATAATAAAAATAATTATAATAGAGAATTATATTATATTTAAGATAAATTAAAAAAAAAAAAAATATATATATATATATATATATAATATAAATTCATGATAGATAATAAAATACATACATAAAAAACTAACATACCGACATTTTGAAAATGGATTCATACTTATTTGATTCGGTTTCATCATTGTTTATAAGAATCAAAACTTATAATAATTAATGTCGAGTACATCTTAATCGACGTTCTCTTTTACGCACCAAAAATTTTTATTAATACTGTAACGAAGCACCTTTCCCGACGCCACGGATCGGCTCGTCGGTGCCAGGATTCGGGAAGAGGGGAGACTCAGATTTACAATGACACACGGTTGCTCTGGTAAAAGTAGAGTTTATTCGGGGCCACCTTCCTGTGGTTCTCCCGTGATTCAAACCATTATACACAGCACAGTATAATCGGACGAAACGCGACCAGATGATACAGACGCGTACACGACTTATTGCTAGGATTGACAGATAGAAATATTACGGACGAGACGCGACCAGATTATACGGACGCGGACACGACTTATTGCTAGAGTTTCCAACGCGGACACGCGTACGGGCGCGAGAAGGGCGAGCTCCGTCGGGCGCCGGTGACTTTCAGGTAGGACCCGGGACCGAGGACGCTCGGCCTGCACGACGAGAACGCTCGTCGGCCGGGGTGATTTCGGACAGGACCCGGTGACCGAGGACGCTCGGCCTGCACGACGAGAACGCTCGTCGGCCGGGGTGATTTACGGACAGGACCCGGTGACCGAGGACGCTCGGCCTGCACGACGAGAACGCTCGTCGGCCGGGGTGATTTACGGACAGGACCCGGTGACCGAGGACGCTCGGCCTGCACGACGAGAACGCTCGTCGGCCGGGGTGATTTACGGACAGGACCCGGTGACCGAGAACGCTCGGCCTGCACGACGAGAACGCTCGTCGGCCGGGGTGATTACGGACAGGACCCGGTGACCGAGAACGCTCGGCCTGCACGACGAGAACGCTCGTCGGCCGGGGTGATTTACGGACAGGACCCGGTGACCGAGAACGCTCGGCCTGCACGACGAGAACGCTCGTCGGCCGGGGTGATTTACGGACAGGACCCGGTGACCGAGAACGCTCGGCCTGCACGACGAGAACGCTCGTCGGCCGGGGTGAGTTACGGACAGGACCCGGTGACCGAGAACGCTCGGCCTGCACGACGAGAACGCTCGTCGGCCGGGGTGAGTTACGGACAGGACCCGGTGACCGAGAACGCTCGGCCTGCACAACGAGAACGCTCGTCGGCCGGGGTGATTTACGGACAGGACCCGGTGACCGAGGACGCTCGGCCTGCACGACGAGAACGCTCGTCGGCCGGGGTGAGTTACGGACAGGACCCGGTGACCGAGAACGCTCGGCCTGCACGACGAGAACGCTCGTCGGCCGGGGTGATTTGGAGTGTGGGAGTTGAGGAGTGATCCCTGAGTACGCTCGAGGGACCAGGACGGGACTGGTGTCGAAGTCTCGGCTGCGCCGCTCTTTATACCCGTCGGCCACCCCACTCTAAGACTAGCTTGGAGGGGGTCGAGTGACGGGTGGGGGCGAAAAGGCGGATTCCCAACGTATTCGTGTGGTGGCCCCGAAAGGGGCCGTTTACACGAGCGCGGGCGACTAGTGACGGCTAATCGGGTCGTCACATCACCCTCCTTTTCTAGGGGGGGGTGGCTATTCGACGGATCGTTCGCGGTCTTCCTCGTCGGTCGAATCTGATGATCCACCGGCCCGTCGGGGTGCGTACCTTATACCGCCGTGAGATGGTGGCGGCGTGGTACGGTATGTCGACGGTTTGGCCATCCCCCAGAGTGACCTGGATGGGTCGTGGCGGTCCCGGGCGTGGTGCTGGCACTGGTGGGGCCTGGCCGGTTGGAGGTCGGCGTGGTGCCGGTTGGGGTGGCTCCCTGGCTGGTGGCGCGACAAGGGATCGCACCTGTTGGCCTGTGTTGGCGCGATGCGCTGGCTGGTCCGCTTCGTCAGGCGTCGCTGACTGGCGCGTGGTGGCTGGCGGTGCGACAGCGGATGGCGTGTGTCGGCGGGTGCCGGTTGAGGGAACCGATCGGTTCGCGGATGGTCGAGCGGGCTGGCGTGCGCTGGCCGGTGTCGTCGTGGGCCTGGTGACGCCGGCGACGGTGGAGGCCGGGGAGTCGGAGAGGACCGGTGGTCGTCGATGCCGGGTGTTCACCGGGATAGGTCGGCGTCTGCCCGGGGGAGGCGGAGGTGCCTCCAAGAGCACCAAGTTCCGACGTCGCTGCTCGGCGTCGGACCGCTGGATGCGGGTCCCTATTCCCGGTACTGGCCGGGTGGTTCGCCCGGAAACGGGCAGATTTCGTCCGGAAACGGACGGATTTTCTTTTGAGCGCTGGTTTGCTTCTTCGTTTGGTGTTTCCATCGTGACGGGATGAGTTCCGACCCAAGGGTGCCCGTTCTTTATACCCCTCGGTGATCTGGACGCGGACCATGAAGAGTGCCGCTCCCGGTGCGGGACCGGGTGGCAAAGCGCGGACCATGAAGAGTGCCGCTCTCGGTTCGGGACCGGGTGGCAAAGCGCGGACCATGAAGAATGTCGTTCCCGGTATTCGGCCAAAGATTTTCGACAAGACGCGGACCATGAAGAGTGCCGCTCCACGTATTTTGATTCGAAACCGCGAACATGCCTAACGGTTGACCGGCGGCGTTAATCGGCGCGCGTTGCTCGGGTATCGGACTAGGGTTCGGTCGCAGGACGCGGTTCGGAGGCGGATTTCAAGTCCCTCACGTGGACGTGCCGATGCCATCGACCTCGGTCGTCCTTCAGGTCCACGATGACGGGGGAGATGATGCGTCTGATCGTCAACGGGCCACCAAATCTTGGTGCTAGTTTGGCATTAAAGCCGCGCTCTTTGTTCGATAACGGGTGCTCCTTTTTCCATACTCGGTCTCCAACTTGTGGACGCCAGTCGCGTCGACGTAAATCGTAGTTTCGCTGTTGATGTTGGAAGGCGCGGGCCAGGTTGATTCTGACAATTTCGTAGGCGTCTTCGAGTCGACGTCGAACTGTTTCAGGAGCGTTGCTGGTCGTTGCCGGGCGGCGGTCGTCGGGATGCGGTGATTGTAACTCCCGGCCGTACATCAGAAAGGCCGGGGTGTATCCCGTGGATTCTTGTCGTGCGGTATTGAAAGCGAACTGGAGCTGGGGAATGTGTTCATCCCAACGGCGATGTCGGCCTTCCACATATTGCGCCACCATGGTCTTTATGGTGCGGTTGGCTCGCTCGACCGGGTTGCACTGCGGTGCGTAGGCGGGGGCGGTTCTATGCTTGATCCCGAAGGATCGTAGTAATCCCTCGAGCTGGTGCGATCTCAACTGAGTCCCGTTATCAGAGACGATGGTGTCCGG